GACATACCAAGTGCACCTACAACATCACAGAATCTGAAAATTTAGCAGAGTATGACAAATCAATCTCGGTAAGAGCGTTCAGCCATTTCGCGCTTTTGCCTTGACCTCTCTATAAGCACACTCCTTTAGTTTTTAATGAAGCCATATCCGTCAGATACATTGTAGGCCTCTTTCCATGGATAATCTTCACCTTTATTTTACTCCAATATACGGCGCACGTGAGTGCTTTTTCTCTAATAACCAAGTCTTTTCAGTCTGTGTTTTTTGTCGTCAGTACTTACAGATTAGACAGACTGTTAGGAAGAGGCAAAACATGCAATTATCAGGTCATCAGTCAAGTTATTATCGCGTTGTTAACATGTCGTTGACATGCAATTGTTCCTGCTTCTGATTAGACGCTTGCATAATTCAAACTCTCAACCAGATTGGCTGATTTCCAGTCTACCTTATTTTCTGTATAAATACAGTCAATTTTGTCATAATAAATGAACCTGGTTTTACCGTTGATTCTCTTCGTGTTCTGCTTTACTAGTTAAGTGGGTACTGGTCAGTAGTTAAGCAGTGACAGCGTGACAAAGGATCTAGCATCATAACACAGACTACTGAATTATTTGGTACATAGGTGAATTGCGTTAAGTAAGGACCGGTGCAGCGTAGTTTAATATGCATTTGATTTCAGGCCATAAATTTGCTAAAGGAATTTTGTCAGATTTTACCTGCAGCTTTCAGCTTGTGTCTCTTCAGGTAAAACGAGAAGTCATTTCAGAAGACTTGATGCACGCACGTGTAAGTACACAACTTCCGCTACACCATATTTGGCACGTATTTTATGTGATGAAAATACTGTCAGGTAGGAGCTAACTAACCTTCTCAGAACTAGTGAATAAACAATCTTCTCCACCCTTATCACATCAAGGGTTCTGTTATTATTAATATTATTATTATTATATTTATAATCCTCTCATTTTTTGTCTGTTTATTTTCTCATAAGTGTAGACATCATTTAAGGTCTGTAATAATTGTTATATTTTGCTTTTCCCTTCACCGTGCTATATCAAGAGAACATTAAATTCAATAGTCCAAAATAGACCAGAATTTCCAAACTGTATCGACAATACTGTTTGAAACAAACCCACTGTTACTATTATCACTTGAGTTGGTATTCTCACCCTGTACTTTGCACATTTTTGACCTCAACCCTACTGTAAATGTGGACAAATTGCTGTGGTTAATTTTATTGACATTTTGAGTAAACTAGAAGCAATATTGTGACAAATGCTGACAATTCCATTCTGTATTATAAGTAACATTTTGGAAGAAAGTAGATTATTATTATTATCATAATTGTCATTATTATACTCCAACACAGTGCCCAAGTTCTATTCACATAACACTTAGAATGCTATGTGCAATGATTTTAGGAATTCGACCACTAGTTATCACAACATATCATTCGTCTCTTGATACTGTATAGGATTCTAGTGCTGTCGAGCTTCACTGCAAAACGTTTACCAGAATCGACATGCCTAATCAGGAAATCATTGTAACTGTTGTTAGTCAAGTACAACATGATTCACCGAGTTCCCTTAGTTATTCGAAAATTAACGCCTTACATCCCTGTTTCGAGAATTGATCTGTCCGAACCATATTAAATCTCGAAGACTCGCGCATAATCGGAAATCAAACAAACTTGATCCGCTAATATGTGTTATTCGGCTGTCTTTCACCAAGTGTTACAGTCGAACAAATCCAGTTAACAGTGTATTATAATTCCAGATTCCTTTGGATTTCTAAATACCGTCACATCTCCTTTGGGTTCTCCAATATTCTTCAAGTTGATCACAATATGTATACTTACGGAAAGGAATGTGTATAACAGGGTGGGCAAGAAACTACCATCCATTTCGCTTCGCACTAAGAAAATCCCCCAATTAGATGGTTGGAGGCAATCGGCAGGAAGACTTCGAACTAGGTTGCGTGCTAGTTGGTACTCATCTGCAACCTTGAAGGAACTCATGTCTTTTCTGAGACTAGAACCCGCCCCACCCATTGCTGCAGTCAGAGACGTTACCACTAAGCTATTCAGCCTCGCGATTGACCTCGTGTAGGACTGTATTGGATATTTTTGATTGCGCACTAGTCAGTAACTAGTGTAATGTGTCTAGTCCTATCTTCGCTGCAGACTGAAATACCACGAAATTTCAAATAGCCAAGAAGTTTGAAATATTATCATGACAGCGTTTCACTGTTTATTAATATCTTAAGCACACTATTCACCAATGTGAATGAATAATTTTCAAATACTAACAAACACCTTAAAACGCCTAAATATTTCAGCACAAATTATGTCACAGATAGATGGCCACTGGAAATTATGCGACGCTGGATAGTCAGATCGCTTAAGTTTACCATACTTCGGAAGTGTGCTTTCTCAACAGCCAAATTACGAGGTTAGCGTGTCACAACTCAACAACTGGGCTGGAATTCAATAGCTCACGAAATCTTACTTTCGCGAATTGGCGATATCACCATTCACTTTTATTAGTATCAGCCCGCATGACTGATCTCGGTGGCCCCACTTGCCATGGCTTCTTTACGAAGACTGCCTCGAAGTCAACAAAATCCACACAGATCCAACTTGTTAACCTCATTATTCATTGTTGGCTCTAGAGAATCTGATATTCGTTGCAGCACATCTTCAAATGGAATGATTTCGAGTCTCTTCTTACAGTCGAACTCAACAAATTGTAAATGCTTCACCAGTTTCCTAACATAATGCCAACTTACAAACAGAGTGTGGATACTCAGTGTTAACTCCTAACCCTCAAACGATGCAGAAGGCTGTCAAATTAAAGCTACTCCAAGTTAAAATAGGAAATTCCACTCAACGAACTAAATGGTCCAATCAGTTCCACAAGAAGTACTGCTGTGAATTAAACTATTCGCTCGACACAAGCAGTATTAGAAGAAACTTTTAGTTTGAGTGCGACTCTAATCACCTAGTAAGCTGAAATTGATGCGATTTGACCACACAAGATAATTGATCACAACAATAAAATCAAATAGTTTTACAGTCGTGTGCGTTATCAAAGCCTACGGTGACCATTGTCTAAATGAAACGAAACCGTTACTAACGCACTGTGATGCAAAGCATGAGTACCATAGAAATACCAATCCACGGAGGATAAAAACGAAAATCACTATTGAGTCGACCAGTTCTTCCAACTGGATATCTGTCAGTTATGAAAGTTTTCACATTGGAAACATAAGAACTCTTTTCGTAGTGAAAATCACTCTTCACCTTCATATACATATCGCTAATCTCCTAACAAATATGAGCATTTTCAACTAGTCGAGTGGCAGCGTGAGAAACTCGGGAACAATAACGACACCGAGTCATGCGATGAGAAACCATTATACGATACCTTTCAACTATGCAGCAAACGCGAAGTTCTGTTATTCATGAAATATATATTGCTCTTCGACTTAATCACAATAAGAATTCAGGATTCACCTTTTAGTCAAGAAGCATACAATTCGTAGTAGAGTAGAAAACTGTCATACATGAATCCCACCAACCTTTGTAAATGATGTAATTACATTCGTATATATACAGAGGTTTCGTATTAGCAAATATAGAAGAGTTTTCTTCAGCTCTCTTGGCCATGTGTTTCGTGATGAAGTTTTTGATTTACGCAGAAAGAAGTCTGCTAACACGGACCGGAGTGGAGAGCCCACTGCAGGGTTAGCCACCAAATCTAAAATTTACATTCATCGTACACTTTAGCATCAAGTCCTTAAGGATTTCCACTGAGATGCCAAAATTTATTGACTTTTTATTCATCGGTTCACATACATAATTAGCCGTCTCTCTAGGAACCTAATTTTTTATGCTCAGGAACACCTACCATTGACACCAAATAGAGTGTGGTAAAAACCATCAACAGCCCTACATCAGGTCACCTCATCCAAAATGGTCACATATAGAATACCGAATACATTGTCGAAGGCCTCTAAATACCAGACACTCGAAACGACATAGGTAATTGAGATTCGCTCAACAGAAGCTAACATTCATCTCAGAACATCTTCAAGGGGAACGATTTCGAGTCTCTTCTTACAGTCGCACTGAACAAATTGTAAATGCTTCACCTGTTTCCTAACATAATGCCAACTTACAAACACAGTGTGGATACTCAGTGTTAACTCCTAATCCTCTAGGCTCACATCCCATCCCATAACATATTTCCAATTCAGTGGTTATATATGTGAACGGATACAAAAAGGACACCTACGGGATCACCCATATCATGACTGAGTAGTGGAGCTATTATGCAGCGACTTGAAACCGTAGTCATGCAAAACATTAAATCCAAAATTTGGATATATCACGCAGATGACACATTCGGGATGATTGGAAGAAACCAACCGCGTAAATCAAGATAAACGTAGGTATTCAAATAAAATATATCTTCGCAGTTTTGGATGAATCTGTGTCACATCACTGAAGGTTACAAGAACTTAACTAAATCATATCTGGATTTACATTAAGGTGGACTGCACCTCATTACAAATGTCAAACCAAAAGTTATGGCACTGACCAAATGCTGTCACATTAAATCTCATCACTCTTCGCTATATCCCGACTGAATCCTAACTAATGCTTGTTCCAACAATTTCTAATTTCTCTGAGATTATTATAATGTTTATTTATGGAACATGTAAAGTAACTTGGTACATGGATATTGAAATATTCATAATTACATTATAGAAAATACAGTTATGGAAAAGCTGAACACACAATCTTCATGTACTCGCTTCTGAGATGCTCCTAGGTGGTTTTGGGACAATTTTGGTTGCAGTCACCTGAAATTTCTTCAAATCTGGCAACAATTAGAGAAGTAGGCAGATCTGTTTTTTGAGATCCAAATTTATTTTCCTCTAAAAAGTTGGTTATATCACGGAGTGTTCTTCTTTGAAATTGCTGGGATGAACCTGCACCATTATATTCAACACTGTTACTAGTTGTTTGGAAATTAGCCTCGGTCATATTCTGCAAAGAAAAAAACATTTGGCAATGTAGACAACACAATGATGAAACTGTGATTACTGCTATCTCCACAGTTTTCAGTGAACGAAGAACTAGACGTGCAATACATCATTGTCTTCTGAATGGGAATTCACAAAGTCAATAAAAAATCAAGCAGCCGAGTGAGATTCCGAATGACGTAACAATTTACTGGACAGATGTTACGGGATGTAGCTTATGGTCCCAATAGTGCCAAGCATTCACATATTAAGTTATTATTATTAGTAGTACTACTGAGTAACAGTGGATGACATAATTGATGGAATTACTCAGGAGTCGTCTTCTTCGCAAATTATGTCTGACAATATTGGCTGCTTGCATATTCATAAGGCGAAGAATTTCCCAAACGATATACACAAATACTTCCCAAATCCTAAAATATTTCTGAGCACTCCATTCCTCCAAGGCTTTCTAGCTAAGAATCCGGTTCTGTTTAAACAGACTTACAAAGTCATCAATATTGACAGTGTGTAGCTACCGTATTCTCTGCTGTCCATTTTCAACAGACAATATATGACTCCACAAAATCTTACTCAAATGAAGCTCACTTACATTAACGCTAGATTTTATGTTTACAAATCAGGTATAAATGTGTGCATCAGGCTACGAAAGTCGACTGGCATGTGACTAATGCTTCAGACTGAGATGAACAAGATTGGCTTTCAGCGTGTCACAAAATATCATTCAAACGAGAAAAGTAGTTTCACCAATACACAGATGTTATACCTCAGATTGTTACTAAGTAGCGTTACATACAAAGCTTGCGAATTAAAAGGCTATTGGATGCATCATGCATTGATGTCACTGATATGAAGATGAAGAACGTCACCGGTCTCCTCGCATTTGTACACCCTACTTCCTAATTGATATGGCATAAAATAATCGCTAATATAACTGTCATAGGGGTTCAATCTATTCATGCAGGTACTCACTTAGCTCATCTATTTCACTACAACGCATATCTACTTATAAGACAATACTACAGTGGCGTTAATTATTCACGATATTACTGGCAATAGGATTTTAGTTATAGAGCACTAATCCACATATTATAAGTGTATTGACTCGCGAACCCAAAAGCATAGCAGGAAGTAAGGAAGACGGTGCTATAACAACTCCGAAGGAGGGTATAGTAAAATGTTGAGGAGTAAACACACACGCACCCAAATACAGAGTCGATTAGTGAATACGACTGTGATCTACTTCAATTGACGATAGGCGATAACTCAGATAATTATTCCACAGGTACATGAGTGAAACTTCCTTACGTTGTGTTCAGGTCATTCGGCTTAAAATCACTCCAAACGAAACAATAAACAACGGGAGATAATCACTTCAGCCGTCTCAATCAACTAACGAACCTCACTCACAAACTTACTCACTTACCGAGAAATTAATATTTACTCTGATGTGAGTTTGTTTTGAAACTTGACTGAGTGCGCACTTTTAGACAGGTTGTGTACATAGATATTATTTGGGATTAGATTTGTGAAATCACACAGTCTATTCAAGGAAAGCAAATAGTGAAATGATATGTCAATCTTTTCGGACAGGGGGCATCTTTTATGACTAACAACCAACCGCTTTAAAATTTAAATCGGAATTACTGCTTCACAAGATCAACTGAGTCAACCAGTTGACCACAAACTCTGTGAATCAAGTGCTAACCGAGTAGCTCCACAACTTGAAGTCATCACAGTTATGAAATCTTTCCAACACTTTGATCTCAATCTCGAAAATGTTACTGTTTGTTGTGTATCACAATTGTGAAACATACGAATTCGCGCAAACTACATCCGCTTTTGCGACAAAGTCCAAGTAAGGTGAGCTTGTACACTTGCATACCAATAAACAATTGACATAATCCTTGCTTAAAACAACTAGAGGTCTTAACATTTTCAATACCTTCTAACAATGAGCAGAAATAATCTGTACTGCAAAGGTAAAATGTGGACCTAACACCCACACCGCATATTCAAGGCAAACAAATTCGAAATTATGACGAATAAGTGAACTCCACTCAAGCATAAAGCAGCTTCAAGAACCCTTGACGGATGGTATGAAGCTTCAAGTGGACATACCAAGTGCACCTACAACATCACAGAATCTGAAAATTTAGCAGAGTATGACAAATCAATCTCGGTAAGAGCGTTCAGCCATTTCGCGCTTTTGCCTTGACCTCTCTATAAGCACACTCCTTTAGTTTTTAATAAAGCCATATCCGTCAGATACATTGTAGGCCCCTTTCCATGGATAATCTTCACCTTTATTTTACTCCAATATACGGCGCACGTGAGTGCTTTTCCTCTGATAACCAAGTCTTTTCAGTCTGAGTTTTTGTCGTCAGTACTTACAGGTTAGACAGACTACTGAATTATCTGGCACATAGGTGAATTGCGTTAAGTAAGGACCGGTGCAGCGTGGCTTATCAACAGCACCACCAGTACTTCACAAATCCATCATCTTGATGAAGGCATTTTACTGAGGTGCTAAAAGTATCTGAGTATTTTATCCTACAGTTTATGCAGAGTATACACCAGCTCATCACTGGTTGGAAAGGAAGACAGCTCAAACTTTCTACTTGGCTTGCATCCAAAATTAAAAGCTCCAACCCAGTCATCATCAATGCGTGTTCAACCTTATAAAATAAATCTCACCGTGGTATTATTCGATACTTGTCATCAGTATAAAAGATGTTAAGAGGCATAACAAAACCAGAAAGTGAAAGCCCATTTTGAAATTTGACAGAGTCGACCAAAAGTTCTAAACTGAATGAAGAAGACAAAGTGCAACTGAAGTAAGAAAACATTAACACGAATAACGTAAGCGTGAAAATATGACTTGAAAACTAAGATTACCGATTTTGACCTATTTATATATCCATGGTCAGTAGGTAGATTTGGTTTGATTCTGCCCAAGATTCCACCGGAAGGTTGGTTTGCATGTGGTAGTTGGACATAATTATCATTGTAACAAAATGTATTCTGACTATACGTGAAAGAAGGTGATTTCGAATGGATGAGAAGTATTCACGACAACCTACCCATCGTGAGCCAGTGAGTTTTTCTCACTGATCCGAAGAGGATCTGCGCCTGATTCTGGTTGCATCTGCTGCTCCCCAACGTTTCGACATCCCTGACACCAACATAAGTTAGAACATGCAACTTTGGCCTGTAAGTGAGACTGGTTAAGTAATTACTATGAAACCTCATAACATTCGCAATATTTTTTCAGGCAGCGGGACTTTTTGCAGTTGCACCCCTTTGAGTGTCGTCGTTCGCCGTCGCCTAAAGTAGTAAACAGTGAGAACTACCTTACCAACTTTCGGATGAAATGCCAGTGGATTTCTTCTCAAAGCGAGTTCTATTGCCCTCCTGCGATCTTCTTCATGAAGACTGTTGTTCATGCAGTTCTTACAGTTGCAATTATTGCAAGCGTTGCCTCGGGCAAAACATTCACAAAACAGTTTGAGACAATGGCATTTTGAACATTTACATGGTTTATGGTGGGAAGGGAGGGGATGAAAATTTTCTGAAATTTCTGAATGATCTCTCGATTCTGAAATGCACTTGGCGTTTTTAAGTGAATCCTAAGTAAAGCTGAGCATTTCATTCAACTTTTACTTACATTATCCATGTGAATATTATTTTGTTGTCCAACTAAATTCGTCTCACTAGAATTGGATTTATTACACTCATTGAGCAATCGGTTTGAAATAACAGACTCTCCTTTGCCAACGTTCATCTTCGCTACGTACGTTCACCAATGTACGAAATCAGAGGCCAAATCCATAAGATGTGCTAAGCCAACGAGTAAAACAAACTGTCGAAAGTCCAATAACCAAATCGTTTTTACAAGCTAGTATGATCCAATTTGATTTCTTTGTGCTCGCCGCTTCATTTTCAAGTATAGGTTCGTGACCTAGCGTAAACTTCTGCGTAGTTCTTCCGCCACCTGACTGCCGTAGCTCTGGTTGACTCCCAAAGGAGTAGTGCTGGCATTACTTATATGTGGTTTGCAGTATGCGGTGTTTTAAGACTTTATTGATACGCTGAATCGAGTTGGTCCTTTCACGAGTTAGTTCTCTGGTATTGTCGTCAAAAGAAAAGAGATAATAATTAATAATAATATCAGATATAATTAGTGTTGGTTATTCAGACTAAAAGACAGAAAAAGAAATAAAGAAAACGTAAGCACAGACAGCTAATTAAATTTGAAGTCGATATGCAAATATATATGTATGCATACAACATCAATAATGGTAATTATTATAATAAATGTAAGCATAGTATTTGGAATAGTCATGAGATTCAGACAGGAAAGAATGTGGAGAAGTGAAACGACGAATTTGGATGTCTACCCATGAATGGTGTATTGTATTTTAAGTGGACAGGCCTTTTGGACACAGTCCTTGTGTCGCTGCATGATTGTCCATCCTTCGTTTAAAGCTATCCGCAGACAGTAACGTAGCTACATCTGCCGGTAAGCAATTCTAGGGACGGCAAACCCGCAGTGAAAAGAAGTGGCAGTGCACCCGGGTCCTTGCCCTGTGGTGAGCTATCCTTCTGGTATTTCCACGAGGAAGCCTATACCTACTCAACGGCAGAACACCTTTGTTTGTGTGATTCTGGTCATTTGTTATCTTGTAGGCAGTATTCGAGTCGCCCCTAAGCCGACGATAGCTAAGTGTAGATAGGCCTAATTTCTTTAGCCTTTCATTGTATGGTTTGTTTCGGAGACCAACCACTCCTTTAGTCGTCCGTCCTGAGACTTTTTCCAAGAGGTTGGCGTCTCTTCTAAGCAGTCGGGTGCAATAATATTGCTCAATTGAAGGTGTGGTGTGACGTACGTTTTGTACAACCTTAGAAAGAGCTCAGGAGTGAGTGTACGTAACTGTCTATGTGTAAAGTATAAGACCGCATATGCCCTCGTTACGTCCCCCATGTAATTCACGCTTGTGTCAGTTTTCTCCGCTAGAACTAGACCTAAGTCGCGCTCCGACGTTGTGCGGGACAAGCTTTCATTTCACAGCGTGTAACTTGCATTCTGCAGTCTACATGTGCGTAATTTCACTACTTTGCACTTTTTCAGGTTGAAAGTCATGCCACTGGCCACCGTCCAGTCTTCCAGAAGCTTTAGATCTGCCTGCAGCCTATCTGAGTCCTCCGGACACCTTATTGTTCTCCGTATCTATACCTCGTCAGCGTATAAAAGAGTTGGGCAGCTTAGACGGTACGGCACATCATTGATAGAAATCAAAAATATCAATGGCCCTAGGATAGAACCCTGCGACACTCCTGATGACGAGCTGTGTCAAGATGATCGAACTCGACTGACCTTAGTGCAAAATTTCCTTCCAGCTAAATAGTCCTTCAACCTTGACAGTATCGGCTCACCTATGCCTGCCTGACTTATTCTGTGTAGGAGAAGGTCATGGTGAACTGTGTCAAATGCCTTCTCAAAGTCTAGGAAGACCACATGGCCTGGAACATTCTTATCGCGGCATGATGTCCAATCGTCTCAAGCTGATAGTAGGTTTGTTACACAGGATCTGCCTTTCCCTAAACCGTGTTGGGCTTCGTGCAGTGTATTAGTCCCATCGAGTTGCTATCTGATGTGATCGTCAATAATACTTTCGAGTACTATTGATTCCACTGGGAGTAGGGCTACTGGCCTATAACTAGTGGCATTTCGCCTATTTGCACCTTTGAAAATCAGAGAAGGGATGGCTATTTTCCACTCCCTCGGCAGTTTTCCTGAATCCATCGGGTATTGGAACAAGTCGCATAAGTGCCTACAGAGAGAGAGAGGGAGACAAGCGGCAGAATTTTGCAGTGATTATGTTCATTTTGGTGAAGTTCATGGTTAGGATTGCTCGGTCGAAGATGTGATACTAGCGGAATTTGCATTGTCACATGGGATTTTGGATGACCGTAACTGCTTACCGCATCAAATAGCATCGACTTATCTTGCTTGATATCAGTGTGCATTGGGATAAGAAGAAAAGTCTGGATGGTCCTTCTGAAATGTGACACTATTATAATTAGTAGTATTAATAAGAATAGAATAGAATAGAATAATAATTTACTTTATTCCAAAAACAGTACTGATAATACAGAATGGAATTCTCAGCATTTGTCACAATATTGCATCTGATTTACTCAAAATGTATATAAAATTAAAAATTAAAACAAAAATTAATCGGAGGAATTTGTCCACATTTACGACATAATTATTAGATATAGTAATAATAATAAGTATTAATAACAGTGAGTTTGTTTCAAACAGTATTGTCGATTCAGTTTGGAAACTTTAGCATGTTATGGATAATTGGGTCTAATTTTCTGTTGATACGGTATAGTGAGGTGAAATACAAAGTTAACAGTCATAATACAGCTTAAAATTATGTCCGCACTTATGGAAAATAAAATAAACAAAACGAAAAAATTGAGAGGATTATAAATATCAGAAATACAATAACAATACAGTATGATGCTTTAAGGTTGAAGGCTAGTTAGTTCAATTCTGACACTATTTCCATCACATAAAGTACGTGCCAAATATGGTATAGTGGAATTTTTATACTTAGACGTACGTGCATAAAGTCTCCTGAAAAGACTTCTTGTTTTACCTGACGAGACACAAGGTTGGAGCTGCTGGTAGAGTAATACACTTATTCCTACCTATGCAGGAACACAGCGATTTTACAGGCATGGACAGGTATGATTTAAACTACATAAGTTTGGTGTATGGTGAATTTGCATGCTTTCTTTCCTTATTGACTTTAGTTTGTGGAAACAATCTGCTAGGTAGTCATTCAAACCCAACACGCGATGCAATTAACTAAATCCGAAAGGCAAACAAGTTGTAGTACGTATTTGAATATTCATCCATATGTCGATGAATGAGGCTATGTTCTATGACGATGTGTTTTCGCGCATTGTATGGGTTATCGCGCTCACGCCTATAGAGACGTTCTAATCACTCAGTATTGTGAAAATAGATTATATTTGACTAGTTTTAGGCTTCTGTAGCCGAAAAATGCAATATTTTTCTGTATTGTATTCATAGTAATGTGTAAAATTGTCATGACAGCCTAGACGAATTACTAATAAAAAGGTCACTTTTAAGAAATATCGCATAAAAAGTCTATTATTAGGGTTTTAGAGCATTGAGGCATTGCTTTTTGTGAGTTGTTTCAGATCTTAAGGTTGTTAATTGACTGCAGGCAATGGCTGTTGTCATCCCAGTTATTCTATGAGAATCGTGCATTTGAGAGAGAAATAGCCTACAGACATAAGTTAGATGTGTGTTTTGAGGATGTTAGACACTTCTTTTATCATCTGTGATGACTGAAATATTCTATAGCACATGGAAGAGATCATGCGATGAATGAGACAGGCTGCTGCATTTCCTGGTGATTATATCTACTTTGATGAAGTTCCCATTTAAAATTGCTTAGGCGAAGATATGACACTAGTTTAATTGACATTTGCACTTGGAATATCAGAAGGCTTTAATTGTTCATTGTCAAAAATGGCATCAGATTATGTTTATATCAGTGTGCATGGGGTTACGAAGAATAGTGTAGATGGTCCTCCTGAAATGTCAGACTACTTAAAATTAGTATCAATTTTCTGTCGATTAGTAGCTAGCAGGTGTGTCCTACAACTACGGCACCTGTTACACAAGTTATCCCAGTCTTAACAATTGTTCGTGTTCATATCACTAAGATATTCTGAGATCCTTAATGAATTACTTGTGGCTATGAAGGATATGGAAGAAGCACTTATGGCTCATATGTTTAAATGATTTATTATGAAAGAAGTTATCTGTAGGGATTTTGTGATGTTCAGGTTACAATGCTTGAGGGTATATAGTGACTGCATGCTTCTGTGCGTGAAAGAAAAGTTAGTTAAAATGAAGATATGATGAAGTTTTCTGTACAGTGTTCATTGTGAATGGTTTACAAGTTAACACTTATTATTTGCTTGCAGCTATACTGTATAAGACGAACAATCTCTGTGTGACATTAAAAAATACAGAAGAATGCTGTCATCACCAAAGAATGAAAAAGGAAAATGAACCTTTTTCAGCAAAGGTATGGAAATATAAAGCGTTTAACTTTAACATTACCTCTTCCTTACTTCAGCGATTTAAAAACATACACTTTGTTCACTTATTTACAGATATCCGGTAATGTCAGTCAACTTGGTCACAGCAATTCAACATGGGCGAAATAATTACGAAAAACAATTGTATAAAGACATCTGCTTATTTTTTTCATTAAATAGATTTGAAATCCTGCTTACAATACTTTTCTTATTCTATCTGAGTGAAACTAAGTTTTTTTGCATGACGATGCAGATGTCAGACTTATCAATGATACTTGATGATTTATTTGACTGCATAATTAAACGTAAGCGAAATGTTACTGCGACTGCTACAGCCCAACCTACTTATTTATTCGTTATGTGTAAACTTAATTTTACAGTATACGTTAACACCCGTTATCATAGGGACTGCCATAACGCTTTAATCTAAATATTAGTAATACACTGATTTGGAATACACCTAACTGTATACAAACTGAAACTGCAATGCAGTGCCTAAGTTCTACCTATTGTTTTCATTGTTCCCTACAGACATGCGTATGACTATGAGACGTTTTCACGTAACTGTAGACAGAGACTTAAGGGCCACTAAACTACTTATAATTCACCACGCATATCGGTCGATAGTGTTCCTACAGAATTACACTTAAGTATAG